AGAGTGAAGACACCTCAAAACCAAAGATGAGCTGGGCATCAGACTCAAAAAATGAGAATCAGAAGGTCCTTACGGGTTTCCAGTCCTTGTACAAAGTAAGGGAAAGGATCAGTGCATTTAAGGACAGGCTTGCATGCAGTATACTCTAAGTGTAGTTTGGGGATAGGGCAGCAAAAGCACAATGGAAAAGAATTTCATAAGGCAAAGTGTTATGCGTGGTAGGGCTAGATAAATGTTTGCAGCCTTTGAATTAATGCTTTTTTTGCAAATCAACACGGACAACGTACTCTTGAAAGCTCCTGGTGAAGAAAAGATGTGAACCCCTGCATCTGAACAGTGGTTTCTATATAACACCATGATCTGTCCAATCTACATGCATCGTAAGTTCTATTGGCTGCATTGATTTTGAATAATAAGGAACCAAGGATGACACATCTGCATGCATAAACACAGAGACACACCTTCCATTCCTCTCTAGTGGCTTCCTCCCAGCTTTCCCTATGCACAAGCAAACAAACAAACAAGCATTCAAGTATATTCCAAAAGCCCAAGACCTTTACACCGGGATAGTTTTTTAAGCCCATGCCTCTTCACTGCTACTAGTGTGTTTTCCAACTATGTGCCCTTTCCACATACCTAATTGAGGCCATTCCTACAGATTGGTGGTTTCCCCAGATTACAGCTAAATCCTTCAAAAAACAAAAAACAAAAAACCATGTAAAATGCATTATTTACCCATGTCTGTTGAAATCTTCCCATCAGGGCACGGGATGCAGTCGTAGCAGCAAAATGGCTCCCCCTCCTTCACTTTCTTTACAAAACCAGGAGAACAACTTTCACTGCAGACTGAAATTGGCTGTCCCTACTCCAGGAATGAAAGAGGAGAAGGATGATTTTGGAAGAACTGACCGTGGCATCTTCATTCTTGGCATTTGATATGCTCCATTTTCAGCCCATGTATACAAGTGGAAATTTGAGAAACTCTCTTGGGTACCACCACAATGTGGCTACAACTAGTCACAAGGACAAGTAATATGCCTAGAGCACTGAATAAATGGCTTTTATCTTGTCGGAAACCCCAATACACAAAATATCTCCTTTGAACTCAGAGTTGCCTACACCAGCAAAACATGTATTTCACAGAAGACAAAGGATTACAACTTTTGCTGTATGGCTGCAATTCTCCTTCTAATCAGAAATCTTTCTTACAATGTAACTTGTAGACATGGAGGACCTGCTGCATATTGGACCACAACAGGTGGAAAACATGTATAAATTCTCCCCATTCCTCCCTAGTTGCTTTACTGGAATAGAGGCCATTTTTTCAGTTATAAATAGTAGAATAACTGGTCTCATTTTCCTTGCGCTTAAAAAGCAACTCACATACCTTGTATAAACAAGGAAGTAAAACATTTCCATGCATTTAAAGATGGTGCCCATACCCTAAGTAGTATTGTCATTCATCATTGTCCAATCATATTCTTTTAGTTATCTGCACTGAGACTAAGAAAGTCCTTTGAAACTAGATGTCCTCTGAAATTGATATGAATTGGATCCTACCTGATTGAACCATCTGGGCCATGTGATGACATCTTCATTGAGGGAGAGTGCTTGGCCTGGAGGAGCCTGGGGATCCACATTTCCAATGTGTATGCGCTGAAAAGATTGGTTGGAGAACACAATCCAGTTGATCACATCTAATCCCACTACTAATTCTCCATTTTGGTCAAAGGAAACTTCTTCCCCAGCACTATTATTAAATGAAACAGCTCTCAGAAAGTGGTGAAGCTAGAGGGGAAAGGAGAAAGATGCAGTGGGATTTCCAGGCACAATGTCTACTGGAAGAAGAAGAGTTATGTAAATTTGTTTGAGTGGGACATTTTGTAATGATCATGTTTTATTTATTCAACTGCATTGGTATCCGGCATTTTCCTCTTGCAAGGAAGCCAAGGCAGTCTGCCCAGTCTTCCTCCATTACATTGTATCCTGTGGGGCTAGTTGCAGTGTGGGTGAAGTTACTCACTCAAAGTCACTCAGTGAGCTTCGTGGTCAAACTGGGACTAGACCCTGGATCTCCTAGGTTTCTGTCCAGCACTCTAACTACCCTACTAAAGGCTGATGAAAAATCGCTCCCTATCTTTATTCATTCTTTCTTTCATTCATGCCTTACATTTTCATGGTGCCAAATTAGCCAGATGCTCCCTGGGCTGCTTAGATATATTCAGTACAGCAATATAAATGCAGTAAATCCAACAGACACAATCAACCCAACAATATCAATAAAATGAAAAACAACCAACCAAGAAAAGTCAACAGTTGATAATAATTAAAAACTAAATGACTGAAGTAGAATAAATAAATTGAGAAGGGGGTAGAACATGAATCTAAATAAGCAATGTATAACACAAGCAAAATTCAAAATCCACAAAACTATAAAATTGTAGAAGTCTAAAATGGCAGCAGCATAAAATGAAATGATTTGTTAAAATCAGAGCCCAATAGATTCACCCTTTAATGTTCCTGTGAAAAGGAGCATTTTCAGCTGGCATCTAATGGAATATATTGACAGTGCCAAAGTAATCTCAAGTGGGTTGGAATTCCATAATTGGGGTGCAACAACAGAGAAGGCTCACAAGGACTGCCCTCATTCACAGATGACTACCCAGTTTTTAAATAAATTGCAATTTCTGGAACATTTTCAAAGCCAGCACCATGTAGAGTTGATTACTAGGTTCCATGTAGAGTGGATTACACTCATTCCAGTAGAATTACAGCTGATAAATATTCTGGAGCTGATAAAAAGTACTCCTGAATTCCAAATCCACTTGAGCAACAAGTAACAGCTTGTGATCTAGGAGCTTTCCATGGCTGTGAAACTTATCCATTAGTTGGAGCTCAACCTTGTCCATGACTGGTTGAAAACTCCACAGTTGAACAGATGGATGCTCCACCAACAGCACCTCCATCTTGTCTGGGTTGGACTTCAGCTTACTGGACCACATCCAGTCCATTATTGAACTCGGCCACCACTTCAAGAGAGTCACTGCCTCACCTGGACTTGATGAAAAGAAAAGCCAAAACTGAGTGTTGTTAGTATCTTGACCTCCTGATGACTTCTTCCAGAGGTTTGATAACAATGGAGTGATAGTGTTGATAGCGCATACAGGCTTCAGAGGGAAACAAGGGAGGAAAGGAAGATGCTATGGCTACACTTTCTGTTCTGGATAGCTGTTCCATATAGGAGGATTGGAAGGAACATGTACATATATGTAGAAGAAACGGTTGGGTGGAAAGGTTCTTATGTGGATTGCAAACCCATTCCAGATATCTGATTAATGTCCAAATAAAGAGCATTTAGTGCAGTACCTCCTGCCACAAGGATTGCTTCTGAAGCTTCTGTCTCCCTCCATTCACCTTTGCTCTATCTATGGGTCTGGATGAACTCAAGGCATGGAGAGCATGTGCCACAGCATACACTGCATTGTAGCTGCTGTAGCTGTATTCTGCCATGTTCATTTCAAAGAATGGTGCTGGGAGGGTCTCCAGCTTCTCCTCCCCAGTGCAAATGTCCCCATTTGCCATGTGTCTCTCACTTGTACTTGGAAGCATACAGTGAAAGGCCTGCTGCCAGAAGTGTTGGATAAAGCCATCTCCTTTGGTGTTAAAAGGATTCCTGTCCTCAAGAAAAGTCCTGAATCCTGGTGGGTCACTGGAATGAAGTGTGAAAGCAATAGCACCATGGAACATTTCTGTATCCCAGTCCCTTTGAAAGAAAAATGAGACAAGCTCCATCTGGGCTGTCATTATCAACACCTTTCCTCTTGGCTTATTTATTGTTTTCTCCAGTGTTGGTAGGTATGGAAGCCATCTCAAAGTCACTGTGGAATAAGAGTTTCCAAACACTACCACTGCATTAGCATTGCTACCCATGACTTGGTCATATAGTTTTACACCCAATTGTAGCAGCACAGTAATTTTATTGTCAAAACTGTATTTGGGGATCCGTTCCACAAAGGCAAAGCAGACACCACTTTGGGAAAATTCTGGCAGGACAGTTTGCACAATTCTTTCTCCATTTTCATCATTCATAGTAAGGACACCAATCCATGTCCACTGAAAATGTAGAAGCAAAGAGAGAATTCCTGCATGTTGAACATCTTCTTTGGGGAACATTTGATAGAAGGAAAGGCCTGGGGTTTTATCATTCATTATTGGAGCAGAACCATAAGTCAGCTAAAGAGAGATGGGAGGGGGAGTGAAGACAATCAGAAGAGGCTTTCAGAGGAATTTTTGTGCTCTCATAGCAATTCACAACTAGAATTTCAGTTATCATTACTGCTACAGAGTATCCTTGGAATCTTCATGTTCCCATGCAAAGATTCCCCAGGCTTTCCTTAACCAGGATATCTAGGAACCTGAGGGGATTATCCAGGTGATTCCTTTCCCTTGCAGGGTTTTTTTTACTGTCTATTTAAGCTCTTTTAAATTAATTTCAAATTTGTTACAATATATGCATTTCCAAAGTAGTTGAATTGCATTGCATTGCACTGCTTAGAATTGTTTAATACATTGTTTTAAACAGCCCACAGAACTTTAGCTATGGGGAAGTACAGAACTGAAATCATCATTATCATCATCATCATCATCACCATCATCATCATGATACCCTCACGCGCGCGCGCGCGCACACACACACACACACACACGTCTGAATTAATCTAGTGGCAGCAGCCTCTGGACCTGATCTAAGGTGAAGAGAAAAAGGCTTGGTTAATCATGGAATCATCTGGAAAACACATCTCACTCCATATGTCAAGGAAGAATTTAAATACATCAATGTAATAGTCTGGGAATGCATTACTGGAAAAAGGTGAAATAATCAGGACCTGAGCATATATTCATTCAGAATTCCCTTCCTCCTTTAGCTTGGAGATTTTTGATTAGATGAGGGTTAAAGTAGCTTCATTTATGCCCCACTGTAATCAATGGGTGTAATGGTATTGTAGACCAACTCTGCATATTGATTGCAATTGGGCTCAAAGGCAACCACTATATTGTGGACCCTTCCT